TTCTTTAGTGTGACTCTACCTTCTTTAGTGTGACTCTACCTTCTTTAGTGTGACTCTAGCTTCTTGAGTGCTTAAGCAATCTTCCAAGTGCATCCAAAACTGAATATTTATTCAGCTAAGCATTGACCATTGCTTTTATATCATAGCCGTTCGTTTCATGCAGATCAACTAATAGCTTCTCCTCAACTTACGCGCGACCATGCAAAAAATGAGTGAAAAAAAATTAAAAATTATCTTAACGATGTCTAAAATGAAAGCCCAAATGTTCTTTAAAAAAAAMTTCATTGGAATTTTAAAACGACTTTACTTGCATACCTTTTCAATAAATATGACGTGAAATAAGTTAATAGAATGAACGGCAAAAAACGAGCTATGAGAATACTTTACCATTTTCTATTCCATTTTCTATTGAAGACTACGAGCAGTCCCACTTTTCCCTCCAGACTCAGTAAAAACCAGCGTCCACATGAATCCCAAAACACTCGCTCTTAATTACTGAGTTTGGAGGGAAGAGTGGGACCGCTCGCAATAAATTCCATTTCTATGATTCCTGTCAACTTAAAAACTTAAAACTGCAAGGGATGAGCCATTCTATACGCACAATACTGCGCAATAGTACCATATACAGATATTCCTACAGAGGTTGGTGAGGGTTTTGTTGCATGTTGCAAGTTGCATATTGCATGTTAAATGTTGTTTGCCAAGCTTGAAATATATATCATTTATATGTAAATTATGTCAGGACAGAAGAAAATATACCGGAAACTTTGTTAAAATCCCTTTGGCTGATTGGATTCACATCGCCCATAGTGCATTTCCGGCTTGGCATGCAACATACAACATGCGACATGCAACATGCAACATGCAACATGCAACATGCAACATGCAACATGCGACATGCAAAAACAAACCTTTACTAATCTTTTTATGAAATACCTGTATGCTACTTCTATGTCCAAAAATGCCTCGCACAACACTGGCAGTGGTTAGACACCTTGCTCTGCATGTGATGCAAGTATTCACACGTGCACTCTTACCAAAGCAGCCAATTCGTATTGTTTGACTGAATATTACTTTATCGATAAATTAGGATTACTGCAACAACATGTACAAGCTAACGAGTCCATATTCATCTTTTCAACTTACCCTCGCCTAATGAAGGCATTTTGTTGTGGATTGGCTGGTACCTCTTCGGCTGACATCATTACTTCATCATTACATTCCAACATGACTATTTCAGTATTTAATGTCTGTACAATATCCTCGTTACTGGTGCTACTATGAGTACTAGCCGAGTCATCCAGTGATTCCACTGTTGCTACTTCAAAGTCTAATGACGCTACAGTCTCAAAACAATTTACAACACAAACACCGTCCGGACTCTCACAAGACATTGTCATTTCTTCAGTAGATGAAATATCCTTAACTTCACTGACTGAAAACACTGGTAAATCTTGTTGAACTTCCATCTCCATAACAGGCTCACACGAAGTCATTTGTTCTGGTACAAAAACCTCTTGCTCAACACTATCCATAACAATTCCACCCGTGTTCTCTTCCACGTTATTAACTTCTTCTACAGCAACAAATTCACACATATCTTGTTGTACTACCTCTTCTACAGCCACCTCCAGGTTGGCGTCTTCAACATCATTATCACATTCACTGAATGACTGGCAATTTCTCCGAGTAATTTCGGGGGACAGCATTTCAGTGCTCTTTTGTTTTTTAGGTAAATCACAGCTCTTTGTTCTTGCTACTTTATTTCTTTCCTTTAAAATACGAAATAAATTGAAAAAGACAAACATCACAAAGTGAAAAAGTATGGCGGATACGAAAATTAAGAGTATCCATGCAAACATGTACCATGAAGCCATTGAAAAGAAGAGAAATGCAAGCAATGTCTTCTAGATTAAGCCCCGTGATATCCGGTATCCTTTTGCTTAAAATAAAATATATATAGTTAGCAAATAAACAATACCTTTGTTTCAGATTCTGTTTCTGACTCGGATCTTATTAACTTTGGAATTTTCTTCTTTTCGTTCTTTACTCTGTTTAATTGTTCCGTGGCTAGCAGTATGAGCGATCTGAAACACTTCAGCGCACTATCGGCTTGATTGCACAAGACAAGAGCTGGAAAAACAATACAAATACATCACAAAATACAGAATACAATTTCGTTCGGGGCCCAAATAAACTCTATAGATCAAACATGTGCTTCCGATTTACACAGAAAAGCGTAAGTGACAAAAAACCTGTAGGTTCGATGTCATCTAACTTACCGCCTTTTTCGGTTTTCTAAATAGACGCGTCTACCGAAAGTTGACTTTTCCCGCCTTTTTCTAATGATAATTGGGTGTGTCATTTTTCATGCCAAACGCTATAACTTAGATCAAAGGCCCATGGACATTCCATTCATTATGTGTTAAAAGGATCACTTCTTTCGTTCAATTAGGTACGGCTCGTGTGAAGTTCGACATCTGACCTTACTCTTATTATGGTTACTGAAAAATCTATAATATCTGTCAGTGTATCACTCGTTAAAAAGCAGTCTTACATGCCCAGAAAAGTTGGTAGGTACAAGACAGAAATCTTTTTGGCAGCTGTCAAAGTATTCTACATATTAATCTGGAGATTCTATACTATAGAATCTCCAGATTAAGTAACAGACAAAGTAACAGACAAAGTAACTAGCATTCATGTACTGTCAGTGCTATTGAAATTTGGTCTCTAGATCTTTCAACTTTTGAAATCCGTGTTAAAAAATTGAAAATCGAAAGACATTTCCCAATAAACTTTGCTGCACGTTTAGAGACCGATATAGCCGCTCGCGGAGTAGCCTGCGTGGCAAGCTAATCAGTTCGATGTTAAAAGGGGAGGCCATAACGGAAACAYTAATTTAATTTAACACTGGAAACGACTACAATGGCCCACTTCCGAGATATTCTTCGCTTGTTACGCACAAAGGTTTCAATGTGAGGCTTCGTTCATAATAATCAGTGATTCAATAATTAGTTCATAGCACGTAGCCTCGTACTAAAACCTTTATGCGTGACAAGCGAAGAATACCTCGGAAGTGGGCTATTGCGTCTGATACTGCCACTAATAATGCACCAGTCAATTGAACCCCCCCCCCCCCGATCCCAGAGAGACAGGGTGGGGAATTAACGTGGCAAGAGAGGGGCTTTAACAAGCATTTAACAGCGTGAATGCACGGGTATACGGGGAATTTAACGGGTACTTCAAACTTCAACAGTGTAACAAGTTTTAAACAGCAAAATTTTAGTAATTTTAACAGCAAATCTTTCCCCGTGGACCTGAGGAAAGTGCTAAACTCTTACACGCTTTGTTTTGCTAAATTCCCCGTCATCTCCCGGGGGTCCGTGAAATGAGGGCCTTTGTTTAGAATATCATATGATCTGACAAACAATAGTTATCATTAAGTTAATCATGATAGCGAAGGTTAGTTTACGAGCGATAAGAAGCTCTGATCACGTCACAAATAGTTAAGCCCTTGACCCAGCGATAAGTGAGAATGGCAAACCCTCACTCGTGTCTGAATACTGCCATTAACGCCTTTGGCAATTAAAATAAAGACGAATTTAATCCAATTACATCGATTTTAGACTAGAAAGAAAAGAATTAGAAGAGTAACAAGAACAAAATAGGAAAATATCTATAAATTGTTGCACCATGACACACAGGCAGAATGTCATATTTCTCTTTTGATTGGCTTCAATATTTTCAAAATCAAATAGCTTAAACGAGCACTGAAGTCAAGCTACATGACTAAATGGCCAGTTTACTAATGGATTTGACAAAGCAAGATAAAATGCAAGGTGACAAACAAATTAAACAATAAAAAAGGAACAATTCCTCAATTAATTACTTCATAAATCAATCGATGATTGATTAATTAATTTATTAATTATAGTATTTGAAATACCCACCTTTGCCAGCTTTCAAATAAAGTGACATGGCTTTTCTTGGATGATTATTTCTGCATTTGTCTGCTTCTTCGATGCTTGCCAAGGCCTCTGTAACATCAAAGTATACACATGTTGGTTATAAAATGTACCTGGCAACTGAACCAATTTACTTAAATTATAAATTTTTACCAAATAAAATAAGGGAATGTGTACTTTACAGCTTCCTTATAATCTATCAGTTTGTTAGTTCCCTGTAAACAACTATTACTACAGTTACTAAGCATAATATACAAAGACAAGAAAGGGATACTGACCTTTTTCATCATTTTGGGCTTCAGAAGAAACAGGAGAAATGCTTCCATCATCAGTATCAGCTGCCTTATTGCCATCATAGCCAAGATAACTGTAATCTACAAATAAATCCTTAACTTCTTTTTGCTCAGAGTTAGTTTCATTGTTTAGGGCACAGTCTTTAGGGCTTAGGCTGGAAACATCTGCTCTGGAAAGTGGTTCATGGATAACAGGCTGAAATGCTGTAAAAATTATATGATATGTTAGAAAATAAAGTACCTTAAGTTATAGTCTAAATTAGCTGGTATATACTTAAAGTAACCTATTTTAACCTAGTTCTTAATGAAATTCATTATAATAATAATTTATGAAATATTTAAAATAATAATGCACACACTGATTGGCAGGCTCCCATGTTTATATTATCTAGGACAGGCTCACACAAAATCATGCAAAAATATTTTATAAAATGGCTGCTACTATATATAGCTGCTTATATATGTCTCTGTATTGTGATATAAAATTATGGAAGCTGTATATATGTAGATGAGCACAAGCAAGCAAAGAAAGAGAAGCATTCACTGATCACTTGCTTCTCTATATCTAATGACCTTAACAGCTCCCATCTTGTCTATATAACAGTACATATGCAATGCTTTATCAAAACTACAATGGGTTAAGATATAATATTACCAATCCTTACAATATATGCAAAACTTTAAGTTAAACTGCAGTAATTTATTATGTAATGCAGTTACAAATTGTAAAACTACATAATTGCATATATATAAAAACATTTTTAGCATGTTGAGTGTGACACTATCACAGGCCCATATACGGTACGTAGCTTGATGTGTTATTTGTATATAAATGCAACCCTGTCAGAAGTTAATGCTAATAGTCCTGTGTTGTAGCAGTTATATGCTACTTTGACCAATATAACATGCAGCTTTCTGACAAAGAGCATTGATGGCAGGTCAGTACCATAACCACTGAGCCAAATATTGAACMCACGGGCAGCTCCAGGGGGAGGGTGCAGGGGGTGCACACCGGGCCCCTCCCTGGTTCAATGTTGTGCCACTACTTTTAAGATAACCAATACAAAATAATGTTTTTTCCCTTTGAATTCAAGGGGTGCACCCCCCCTGGGTTAACTTTGTGTGCAGCACCCCTCCCTGATCAAAATCCTGGGTCCACCCCTCGAACAGCTAGAATAGTGCTTACAGGTTTCTTGAACCCTCCTCATAAACTGTTTTTATGAAAGTCTCCAAAAATAAATATCATAAATTATTATCTATGGGAGACTAGGCAACAACCTGACAAGTTTGAGGAACCCAATTAAATGCAACATGAATGTTAATTATTCATTATTGATAATGATATATATATATATATAGTTTTACCTAAATCTATAGATCCACATTTGTAGCTTAATTAAATAAGCCATAATGTGACTAGCTTGGGTAACAACATGACAAGAAGGGAAGCCAATAGAATGCAACATGAATATTAATTCATTATTAATAAATTTTTGATAATTCCCTATAAATCCACATTTTTAGTTAACAATATGACAAGAGAAAGCTATTTGAATGCAACATGAATATTAATTMATTATTAATAAATTWTTGATAATTCCCYATAAATCCACATTTTTAGTTAACAATATGACAAGAGAAAGCTATTTGAATGCAACATGAATATTAATTMATTATTAATAAATTATTGATAATTCCCCATAAATCCACATATTTTGTAGGTAACAACATGACAAGGGGAAGCCTTTTGAATGCTGCACACATATTAATTTTTATATATGTCATATATTCCTTCCAGTACAGGCCAGTGCATGAGCACAAATCGCTGGTTTTCACTTGATGTCATTTCCTGTCTCGTGCCAAATGTTCATCAACTAAATCACAAGTTTTCAATAGAATTCTTTCTGGCTGACARCACATGGTGGTCAGTGTTTGACCACCATGTGGAACAGATAATGACACTCAAAAACTTTTATCAGCTATGAGTGAAAGCCAGCAATTTGAAACTGTATTAAAAGGGAACATGTTCTTCGATTGCACGTTACATCATCGCAGCCTCTCAGGGGAGCGTTGGTGCCATTTAACAAAATATTTCTTATTACCATACATTGTTAACGGCACCACAATGGCCGCCATGCTTTTGTCTTTTAATTCTCTCGGGAATGCTTGCAACCCATCAATAGTGCACAGCTTATTTTAAAAATGATTTTTTTTTCATTCCATAGTTGCACCATTTTTACTGAACATAGCATTCATTGTTTTCACATTTATATTTCTCAATTTTAAGTTTTTCCAAATTCAAATGCTGTCAGAATAAGCAGTTTGAAATTATATTTATCTTTAATATATATAGTAAATTTTGTTTTTAATTTTCCTACATTCTTAGTTGATTTATCAATTATTTAGTCTTACTTTATTAAGAGTTACCTGCACTAAATAAATATATATTATCAATCCTTCTATGCTGTTTTTTAGGATAAAAAATTCATTATCTTTTTGGTCTAATTAAATAAGAATCAATAAGAAATAAGAAAACTCATTTCAATAGGAAAACATATAGTTAGTAGACTTACGATATTGGAAAAAAATCAAAAAATATATAATTGATATGAATTAATAATATGAAAACAATTGAATAAACTATCCAATCTTAATTAATTATTATATCATAGCTCTTCCATACAACATTTTGTTTTATATTTATTCAAATAATTCACCAGGTCTAGAGTTTCATAATTTAAGTTTTTTTAGTTACAATATCAGTAAGAAAAGTTAAATCATACTGCACTAACTTATTGTGTTATTTCAAGTACTTTTAAATGCGTTGTCACATTAAGATAAAAACCACATAAAGTCAATAATAAGTCAACAAAATGCATACACAGTAGAATGGCTGCATGCATTAAGGTTTTTTCATTTACGCGTTAGTGAACACATCAAAAAATATTACTGCTATTACCAGAATGGCAAAACTACGAACCAACATCATTCGTTTTGGTATTTGTATTAATATCAAGAAGTCCTAATCTATGGCTTCTATACAGATTTATAACAGAATACTCTTACAAAAGATTACCAAGTGTCTGGAAATAATAAAAAATTAACCCAAGAAATGTAAATAATTTATTTACATAAAAACGAAAATCTCTTCTGATCCTGATCACAAGAGAATGGCGATTTTTATCTTAAGTCTAAAGATGTTCAGAGATGTCCGTGTTATCGAAATACTAAGTGACCGCAGAAATCTTAAGAAAACCATTTATTTTCAAAACATCTCTCAGACTGTACACGTCAAGAACTATAATAACAGATGTGAGTCCATCACGTTTTGAATAAATTCGACGAAAATCCAAGTTCAATACGAAGTTTAACCTTGTGCTTTCGATGTAATAGGTTTATATAGCTAGTTGTAGTGGSCAATAAAAAGAAAATACGAATAATCACAAGATTTCCTTACAAATAATATAGTGAATATGTTACTATAAGAGGGGGAGTGACTTCAAATAAGAAGTACTAATGGTTGTACTAGTGCGGAAATTTTCCTTCAAAGGATCAGCTAGCGTATTTTCTATATCGCTATATATTTGTATATGTCGTGGCTCTGAGAAAGCTCAAAGCCAGCTTTGACAAGCCATCTGTATTTTTGTTTGTTTTTGGACTGTTTCATAATGAAAGTTTGGTTTTTCCGTTCGGAATTGYCTCAACGCGTCTTTTGGCCCCTAGTAATAAAAACATACAGCCCATGATCATAGTATATCATATATAGGACCTCAAAGAAAATAAAGCTGTTGTATCCATATCAGCCATTAGCACCCAACACAAAATATAATCGACAGATCTATTGATAAATACAATGTTACTAATATTCTACAGCCATGGCCGTTTAGTAGGATTCCAGATTAACATTTGGCTTGCAGCATATGATATTCCTTGAACATATATTAGTAACGTCCCGAAACCTACTTCGATGTGGTACATCTCTAAGTTTATCTTACAATGTTGCGGTTTTGTCGATCCTGTGGTCCTAGACACTTTTACAGGCCTTAAATGGCGTGGAGAAAAATAAATTAATGCCTTAAACACGAAATAGCTTTTCTTTGGTCTTTGTGTATTTATGTTCTATTTATATATGGCTGCATTTACGCCATCAATTGCATGCCTTCCTGAAATATTCTTTTCGACCTCTCGAAGCCCAGAACAAGACGCTCATTTAAAAAAACACGAAGTCACAGAAAACCTAGGAAAATCCTAACARTAATAGTACATTCTATTCTTACCATAAGATAAGTCTTGTTGTGCCATTTTCGTCTCCTCAGATTGGGAACTCCACATATAAACAAATTTCTTTAACCGCCACAACTACATCCAGGTTCTACGCCACCATTCAATGGGATTTCAGTCAAACATCCCGCCAGGGAAATACCGTACAACCATTGTAAAGTGAAAAAGCATTCAATATTGTAATGATAATGCTGCTTTCGTACTGCTAGGCAGTCGCGAAAGTTTGACGAGCGAAGCAGCTTGTCATGTGTGACATGACATACATAGCGTGCATGCTCATTTGACCGTGAATCGTTATTAATGTCGTTACGTTAAATGCGTTAGATGATACTATGAACCCTATATGATTATTCTGATTAATGATGGTATATCTTATAATGAATACATACAAAATAATAACAACAAACACGTTAAAAAAACCCCAGAAAATTAGAAAAGACGCTAACGAAAACCACTTATCAATCATTTATCATAAATGAAATAAACACTTTTTATTAATAATATGGAGAACAATAAAAATTTTAATTTAAAAATTAAAAAAATAATATGACTACGAAATATTGAATTAATTCAGGTTTTTTCCCAACTTTATTTTATGAGGGTAAAAAAAACCCCGCAACATTCATTGATTTCAATTTTAAAAACTGAAAAAAAGGAGACTTGTTCTTTTTTGGCATCGAACCATTTTAATTTCAAAGAACTGAGAACGTCAAGTTTCTGCTACACCTTTTATTGCATTCCTTTTTTGCTCATATCCCCGTCAGTTTAAAAAAATTCGTTCTCGCTTTTCCCGTTCCCTTCCTCCTCCCTCCCTCCTTCCTTTCCTCTTTCAATTCCTTACTTCGTCCTTCACTCGTCCATTCTTTTGTTCTCTTTGCGGTTTGCCTCTTTCTTTCTTCTCCTTCATTCCTTTTTTTTTCTCCTTTTTTTCTTGCTTCTTTTCTTTGTATTTTCGTTGTTCAGCTCGCGTCTTTGTTTCTCTTTTCTTGATCAGTTTCTTTCCTATTTCTTTCTTTTCTTTTCTGTTTGTTTTCGTAATGTCAATCAATCAATAGAATCCGATTCAAACGAAGAATTTTACCTGAAACATAAGTAACCTTTAAAACTGAACCATATATAAAATAGTCTAATTCTGCGGAAAGATAATCGTACTTAAGTCCCACTGATACTCGACAAGGCCAAAACCCGTCATGATCAAGAATAAGCCTTGATGTTACTGCAAGTGACTCAACAACAAAAGCCTGGTATATTGCTTGCCTGCTGGCTCTCTTAACAAAGATCAGATTATAATACTTTATTATTGCACTTCTATCATTATATTAAACTCGATATTTTGTAGCAGATATTGAAAAACAAGCTGATAGGGTATCTATATATATAATCCTCCGCGGTGCATGTGTGTGGTAGTCGTGATATATGGGGTAGTCGTGGTCATATCCGTGATAACGGTGGTATATGGTGGTAGCTGTGGTATATGGTGTTTTCCGCGATATATCGTGGTATACCGTGATAGCCGTGGTATATCCGTGATAATAATGGTACTAGGTTAATAATAATGGGAGGTTCTTATATAGCGCATTTATACATCGTACTCTCAATGCTCTTTACATTTATAACCAGTGGAGGACTTCACGGGATGCATATTAAGGCGCTATTAGCAGCCGTGCAGCTTACAAACACAAAAGATTTATTAGTACATTAGTGTTATGCTTCCAAATTGGGATAGGCTGTTGAACCGGGAGACAATTCCCTACTCTTACACGAATAATTCAACAGGTTATTTTATGTTCCCCATTCTACTGCAGGCTAGGAAGGTTATTTGGAGGCAGGGCCTACGGTTTAAAGTCCTTATCCGAAAAGACTTGAAGGTCTAACCATTTGTAGATGAGAAGCATGGATGGCGTAGCGGTGAGAGCGCTCTCGCCTCTCACCAATGCGACCCGGGTATGCGGTATGCGGTGGTAGCTGTATACGGTGGTAGCCGTGATTTTCCGGTTCGAGTCCCGACGAGCTCGGTGTTGTATGTGAGTTGAGTTGTTTGTTGGTTCTCTCCTGTGCTTCGAGAGCTTTCCGGCTTTACTCCCTCCGGCTTTCCTCCCTCCGTAAATATCAAATTCTAAATTCCAATTCTAAATTCCAATGCCACTATGTAAAATCTACTGTTAATCCCATCATCATCATCATCATCATCATCATCATCATCATCATCATCACCATCATCACCGTCATCATCACCA